GGACCCTTCAGACTGCAGGCCGACGCTCTCTATCCACTAAGCCAAACCGGTTAGGGCTAGATTATGCATTTTTAAAGTGCTTCATAACTTGTAAAGTGCTACAGAAATGCAAGATATTGTCTTTACACATGAAGATCCCTGGACAACATGATCAGGCCATTCTCACTTTTCAGGAACATAAGTGACTGCAAGCTGAAGCTGTGCAAGAAAATGCTAATAACCAAGGGTACAAATTATGACTGCCTTCTGAATGTTGACATTAGAAACCCTTTTACTGTTGGTTATAAATGTAAGGGAAGTGGAAAAACAGCAGTAATAATTATTTAGAACACCGGAATTTAAAACATTAGGAAGACTGAAAATCAGAGCAATTATTTTGTAAAAAAAAAAAAAAAAAAAAAAAAAAAACTTATCAAGAGTAATTTGAACAGTGTTTGCCTCTTCTTTTTGTCACATAACGAAAAGCTGACTGAGCATCCCTACCCCTTGTGACCTGCCACGCTGCGTCCCAGGCAGATCACATCCCCACTTCATCCTCTGCACTTAACGCTGCTGTGGAGCAGCACCGAGAGCACCTTTAATGTGGAGCTGTTTGCCAGCATCACGCCCATCTCTCCTGTCACACTTTCCTCATTATGCCAATGAACTCCTCTAGACCAGTTCCTCTGGCTTCATATCTGGGCTGTCTTCAGTAGTGGCCACGTCAGCCTTTTCCTGGTCAGCCATTTCTTCTGTAACTATCGCTGTTCTATTAGAATTTTATTGCCAGAATTACCACTTTTCCTTTTCCTGCCTGTGTCATCTTTGTTGGTCAATGTCATCTTTTGATTATCCACATCCAGTAAAATGTTATGTTGGTTTATCACTGAAAGATGAGGAGGCAACACAACCACCTGCTTTGCTGTCGGTGCATGAGCTGAGTGACCAGCACACAGTGAGCCACTACTGACATGTTTAAAAGGAGTGACGTGAGTCCTGGCCTGATGGCTCAGTTGGTTGGAGCACCATCCCATTCACCAAAAGGTTGTGGGTTTGATTCCTTGTCAGGACACATGCCTAAGGTTTCGGATTGGATCCCCAGTCATGGCCTGTACGGGAGGCCACCGATCAATGTCTCTCTCATACTGATGCCTCTCTCTCTCACACACCAATACCTCTCTCTCTCTCTCTCTCTCTCTCTCTCTCTCTCTCTCTCTCTCTCTCTTTCTCTCTCTCTCTCTCTCCCCCTGCCTCTCTTTCTAAAAATCAATAAAAAAAATTTTTATCATAAAAGAAGTGACATGATTGGTCACTGATCAGGATGTGCATCTGTGCTCACATAGTGATCTGTGGACAGGAGAGGTAGAAGTGAAGTTTACACCTTAGGAAATTATTCATGATTAATATAGTGACACTACTGAAATTTGAATCATGCTTCTGAGGAGTGGCTGTTACCTAATGAGAAACAGTAACTGAAATTTGTGCATCTTGGAGCCATGCAAAGTGAGGACTGTCTTCACTTGCAGTGTCCCAGGATGCATGAGTCCCCATTTAGTGGTCTCAGCATTTGAAGAGAAAGGAAGATGTTATTTCTTTGGCTTTCTTCATGTAATTCTTCATGGACCTTTTCTGTTACTTCCAAAAAATTATGGTGAAGAATCAAAGAAACTTTGTATGATTGTCACTGTTAGGTCTGATCAAATAAATGAATCAATATCCCTTGGGAACTGACCTTTAGGCCACTTCACAAGGGACATTCCCTTTCGCATAGACCGCATTCCATTTCACTAAGACCTTAGCCTTCCCCTCCAGACCTTCCTAGGATCCAGGCCTGCTCAGAGAATGCTCTGCCAAGCAGAAGCCCACCTTGAGTTCTTTACAATCTCTTACTCCCCAACCCTGGGTGCTGGCACCATTTGGGGGCTCAGCCCATCTGGTTTTCCAGATGACCTAATATAGTCGTAACTCTTCACCCCTTTTGGCCTTGTGCATTCCTTCTTAGGCAACCCTAACAGTCACTTAACCCTTTGCAGTCGTTTGTCTACTCCTAGCCACCAAAGTTTTTTTACCGTTTCGGTCGTATGTCTGCTCTCAGCCACCACAGCAAGGAACCGTATGAATCTTAACTCTATTCATTCATGTATCAGTTCATAATTTCTCTGAAAGCTCTTAAGTGTCTAAGAGATCTTGTCACGAACCAAAACATTCCCCCGACAAATCGGAGATATCGAAACTCAATATAAACAAACGCAGTCGTTCCACACTCACCATGCGAAACGCCGTGGCGAGTCAGTCGCCTTTTGAGAGTGAAGAAATCGACAAGCTTCGGAGATACTTCGCAGAATTTCAAATAAAGCTTTACAAATTACGTTTAACTGTAATTAGGCATTCTCACTTGTTAAGATATTTCAAAATAATACTCCAAAATGGCAAAAAGAAAGTTACCGAAAGAAGTGTATTGCGAATCTGAAAGTAACGATGAAGAGTTTTATTTTGGCAGGAAGACCATCGGCCTCAGATAAAGATGAAAGGCTTAATGGGAAACTGCATATATTGCGGCACTGTGAAGGTGTGAAAAGTAAAGATTGCTCTTTATGTTCGAACAGAAAGATTAAGGGCGGAAGGCACCAAACTAATTATTTTTGCGATACATGTAGTCGAAAACCAGGACTGCATATTGGAGACTGCTTTCAAAGATACCACACAATGAAGAAATATAAAATATAATTTTTACATAAAAACATGTTATTGAAACACATTATTGTCTAAACATACATCTAATGTTCAAAAAAGAATTAATAAATCTTGTTTATCCTTCATAATCTTGCATGTTATGTATCACTGCTCTTCCAATGGAAATTAATTCTGACCAGTACGACACCCATGTCCAAATTTAATACGACCGCAAAGGGTTAAGTGAGTTTATTTTAAATTAAGTTACACTGTGGTAAGAGATAGATAAATCAGTGAACTTCAAAATAGAACTTGAACGAATAACACCTTATTTCCTTTTCAGAAAAAGTAAAAAACTTGTAAATAATTTTCCTTAGTTTTAATCATTTCACTTCACTATTTCATATCTTTGCGTCTCTTTAGTTGTCACTCGTCTTGTACCCAGAATAAAAGTTCAGCCAGATCAAATGTTAAATGTACCCCTATCCCATGATGAGTTTCTGCTGAGCTCCAGAGGCTTATTTAGGCCTGCGTGCACTCAGTGTGCTTGGATTAGGGCAGAAATTATAACACTGAACCTCTAACTTCTTAGAGTAACACCAAATTGTTGGCATTATCTCTTAAACTGTCTAATAATGGTTCATCATCCTGATTTCAGAAATTGTCATCAATGCATTCCGCACTATCCTTATAGAAGATAGATTAAATTATTTTTACTAACTTGGGAAGGTTATTACTTTTATAATCATAAAGTTATTTGAGATCTGAATGAATCAACTAAACATGAAGATATTTATTCAAGGTGGCAGCTGCTGTGTTCTACTCTGATTTTTATAATAAACACCTCAGGTCTAGTGACAGAAACAAGAACATAAATAGTTAATTAAATCACAGTTTGGTAAGTGGGGGAGGGTAGTCACAAGATGGTAGAGACTTTTGGAAAATACCAAACCTAGCTTTGAGGAAAACAAGGAAGGTCTGGCCGGGCTAGCTCTGAAAGACTGCAGGAATTACCTCAGCAAAGAAGGATAGATGGTTCTTACAAGAACCGCAGGTGCAGAGGCCTGGAGACAAGAGAAGGAGAATGATGAATTCCAGAAACCAGAAGAAGTTCCATGGGAAAGCTGAGGCTAGAGAGGTGACAAGTACGCCATGTTAAAGAACTCTGCCATGACAGGAACAGAGAGGCCAAGCGGTCTTAAAAAGGAGAGTTTTTCCTGTTCTGATCTGCATTTCAGAAAAACCATTTCTGGAGTTACTGTGAATAGAGGGAGTGGGGGCAGTGCAGAGAAGACCAGCTGGGATGCAGCGGGCTCACTGGAAGCCAGCAGCAGAGATGGGAGAGGATTCTAGAGGTATTAACCAGGTAGAATCAAAAGAGTGCTGTGACTACTTTTGGATATTGCAGGTGACTTGGAATTTTCTGGTCTGACAGCTTGGTGGTTGCATTAAATAAGAAATATATAATAAAGGAAGATCAAATTGAAAGGAAATATGGTAATTTAATTTAAAAACTATTGACTTTTGCCCTAGCCTCTTTGGCTCAGTGGATAGAGCGTCGGCCTGCGGACTGAAGGGTCCCAGGTTCGATTCCAGTCAAGGGCATGTACTGTGGTTGTGGGCACATCCCCAGTGAGGGTTGTGCAGGAGGCAGCTGATCGATGTTTCTCTCTCATTGATGTTTCTAACTCTCTGTCCCTCTCCCTTCCTCTCTGTAAAAAATCAATAAAATATATTTAAAAAAACAAACAAACTATTGACTTTTAAAGGAATGTAAGGCATAGAATGAGCTGGCCTCTGTGTGTTTTTCTTCTCTTTGCATGGCCTGAGACAGATAAATCCTATGAGGAACCAGCTGGGTGGGGAGGGAAGTGGCACTACATTCACTCAGCAAAGGGAAGCAATGTGTAGGGCCCTTTGGAGACAAAGGGCAGCCTCCTATTGGCAACTTTATTGTCCAGGACTAAGACTGTAAACAGCACCATTTATTTGTGTGTCTGAACAAAATGGCTAGGGAGCTGGTCAGGGCTTCTTGTACTATAAGTGACAGATGTCTTAAACTATTAGACTATGTTTTAGCTGGTTCATGTCCTGAAAAATAACAATAAAGGCATCAGAAGAGGTTGAAGGACTTCTGTGAATAACCCTGTGGCTGTGGCTGAAAGAAGTACCTGGATTGAAAGACTTGAACTTTACCATGTTCTTGCATATCCAAAACATATACCCAGGCCACCGACTGCTCACTCCTCATTATGGCCACAGATCAAAATGCCTAAAAGCCATACAAACCACTTTTTATTTTTTCCCAAATGTAAACAGGAAAATAATCAAAAGCATTTTTAGCTCACATGGAAGGATGTCTCGATATCTGTTTTTGTCTCTGTTGCATAGTTCATTCCCACAGTTGAACTCATAATGCATATTCTTATTGTCCAAAGCCTTTGGAGGTAAGAAATATAAGTCATGTATTTGCTATAACAAAAAACATCTGCCTTTGTCTACTGTTCATGATCCTTAACACTCTATATGACATGACCTGATATTAATGTGTTGTATGAATAATGGAAAAATCAAACCCCCTTTTAAAAGTACTATATGAAATAACTCAAACTTCAGATATCAATAAACAAGTGGCTTGATAAGGAAATGTTAAACCCTTAGAGATTCTTCTTTTGTTAGAACTTCAATAACTTTTAATTTTCCTTTAAAAAAAGGAAATATAGAATAATCACTTCTTAGGATCTACCCAAAATCTATCATTTCATAGACAAAAATAACAGCAACAAAAATATATAAGCATATAAACAAAAAATATAAATAGTCTCACAATTTACTACTTGCCCCACAAAGAAATTACAGCTGGGACACTAATTAGAGAATTCTTCCTATCAAAATAATTTATTTACCAAGTATAAATCTAACAAACGTTTATTGGACATTTAGAATATATTTGTACTGTTCTAAACTTTAGAATACAAAGATGAATCTGAATGTGAATATGGCTTCATCCTACATGAGTTACAGGAGAAGTTTAAGTGGCAGACATGTGAACATGTACAAAGACACCAGTATGACTGACAGCACCAGACATTACCTGAAGGTATGGGGTTGGTTGGTAAGACATACAACATGTACAAATACACCAGTATGAATGAGACCACTGGACTCTACCTGAAGGTATTCGATTGGAGGGCAGACATGCGAACAAGTACAAAGACACCAATTTGACTGATAGCACTAGACTTTATCTGAAGATATGGGGCTAGAGGGGTGCACACGTGAACATGTATATCAACACTGGAATAAATGACAGCACTAGATCATACCTGAAGGGTATGAAAGGAAAGCTCTATAAAGTAATGAGTACTTGAACTGAGCCTTCCAAAGTCATTAGAAGTTACTCACATGAAGGTCTGTGCGTGTGTATGTGTAAGAAAAGAACAGAGGTGACTGGCTATCATTCCAGGTAGGAGGACAAGAATAACAAAATTGAGGTATACATGTCCTCTCAAGGAAATAGTAGGTAGTACCCAACATGATCACAGAACACATGATGTAGCCCAATGGGAAACTGAAACTACCTGGAAGGCCTTGTTTCATTACAAAAGAAATCAAGATATAGCTAGTCGTTTTCTATTAGAATATTGGTGGATAAAACCTATACTTTTCAAAGCTTTTCAGTAACTCCTGGGTGGCCAACTTGGCACCACCAGTCCTTAAATAGGTGTTGGCAACTCCTGCCATGGGTAATGAGGCACAGTGAAGGTGTTAAGCAGTAGGATAATATAATCAGATTATCTTTTTAATCTTTTTTGCAAACCAATTTTAAAATTACCTAGAAAAAAATCTGTAGGAAGAACCAGAGCAATTTTGTAAAATAAGAGCAATGAGGAAAAAGGCTAGTCTTAATAGATGGTAAAAACACTATCTAGTCACGCTAATTAAAGGAGTGGACAACTCACGGATATAGACAAAATAGTGTGGTGATTGCAGGGCTTTAGGGGTGGAGCTGGAAGAGGGCATAGAGAGGATACATAGCGATGGAAAAAATAAAAATAAATAAATAAAAGAGTTGGATACCAGTATATGAATAGACAAATCACTGGAAAAAGTCCAAGAATAAATTAAAGTGCATGTGGGGCTTCAGTATACGCTAAAGGTGGCATTTTATATCACTGAAGAGAAGTTTCCACACAATCCTGAGACACCTGGATAGCTATATAATGCTGGGTGCCTACACAATACCTTCTAATTAATAAAATTCTAGCTGGATCAAAGATTTAGATTTGAAAAATCATCAAATTATTAGAAAATAATCATGAAATAATTATTATGATCCTAAAGTAAAAGGGGAATTCTTAAAAGACACAGAAATCCCTGAAGTCCAAAAAGAAAGGCTTGCCATATTTGACCACTAAAAATACCTGTCTTTTCTTAGTCAATGTGTATGTGCACACATGTGTGTAACATAACAACAAAGTGGAAAATTTACCAACTATCACACATACAAAAGGGATCAATTCTTCATTATTGGTAAGCTTATTAATGGATAAGTAAAGGAATAAACAGAACACTGGACAAAGAATTGGAACTAGCAGTTCACTAAAAATAAATATGAAAGGCTTAAAAAATACATAGAGCTATTCCTGTGGTCTCAAATAAATGTCAATTAGATCATCAGTAAGAAATCATTTGTCATTTAAGAAATGAGCAATGATCCAAAAATCTAGTAGCATTTAATACTGGTTGCTTGCTAGGAGTTTGTTCTAAGGAACACACACATGTATGTACAGGCATGTGAAGGGGTGGATGCTGTTCACAACAGCCAAGACGATACTGACCTAGCAGCTATCCACCCCAGGTGACTCTCCGAAGAAAAGGTCTTTATTCAGGTAAGTAACCACCATGCACACAAAAGAATGAGCTGGGGCTGTATGTGCTGACATTATATTTGGGAATCATATCTTCTATGGAAAAATTATTTTTAAAGGAAAAGAAGGGAAAACAGTAAGTAAAGTACAAGCTAACAATTTTTCTGGAAGTCTGTATGAGAAGCTTCACTAGTGGAAAGGGGACCCAAAAAGTGAGGGAAGAACAAGAGGGAGACTTTATCCATTTCATAACCTTATATGCTGTTTGACTTTTTACCCTGTACTCCTGTGACTTCAAAAATAAATTTAATATTTAAAGACAAAAACAATGTGCTCAATCTTTTTAAAAAAAGAAAGAAAAAGAAAAAGAAAAGAAAACCCCTGGCAGTGATGTGAGAAATAAATCACATATAGACCTTTGTTAAGACCAAAATATTTACCATGTACTCCTGAATGATTTCTTGTTCTTCTATCCTTTTCTGAAGTATTTGAAAATCATTCTTGATGTCTGATTGCTCGTGAAAACTGAATTTTAATGGCCGAATCAGAGCCAACTGAGCTAAGTCCCTTTCAGAAATAATCTGTATACCTAAGGAAGAGAGAAATTCATACTTGTAACTTACGTGTATGTATGTGAAAGGAGATTTTATTGTTGTTGTTTTCTATTAAGTAAATACACATCCACTTAAGGATTAATGGGAGTTTATATTTTCAGAGGTGAAGAGTCTATTTGAAAGAAAGTATCCTTGTTTTGAAAAAATCATGACTATATACCTTGAAATTACACCAAACCCACTGCTCTTGGAGAAAACTGTAAGTGCAATAAATATAACAGATGCAGCAGACCTAGAAGTGTTCTGATTTATAATGTGAACTGGGTGTCTGTACCGACAGTTATTCCAGGCAAGCATGTACAAGACCTGGGTGGGAGAAACAGAGACCTGTCCCCTCCCTGTGGCCAAGTGTTTGGAAGTCCCTGGAGTCTGAGATTAGAGGATGTGGAGTCCAACACACTTCTTATTAAAATGGATCGAGTGCACAGACATGTGTGTACACACACATACGCACACACATACAAGAATAATATATGGTATAATCAATAAAACTAAAAAATAGATATATTATAAATACACATAATTGACAGGTATTAAATAGTTATACACTTATAACAGAAGAGAATACTTTCTATTTAATAGTACATGTGGAATCTCTTTTTAAATGATAACCTTTTAGGTCATGTTGACAGTCTAGATTTCACATATCTGAAATTATACAGATCATTAACCAAAATGTAATAAATCTAGAAGTATTAAAAGAATATTTTTAAAATTTCAGAATTGTGAAGTAAAATGCTCAAGTGAAACCATTCTCAAAATCTATGCAAAGCCAAATATTATGAACTAAAATTAAGTTAATGCCAGAAAAAATATACAAGAAGCAATTAAGCAGAACAATGGGCATAAATATAAAAGGTGGAAGTTTCTAAAGTCTGCACAGCCTTGGGATCTCATCTTGTCTTGGAACACTCCTACACTTAAAAGCTTTCTGGAGAGGTAAGAGTGAGGGACTGTTGGTTGGGAGAGACATCCACAGAAATCCTAAAATTTTTCACAAATACTCCAGTCTTAGTGTGAGAGGTCTAGGAAGCCCAGAAAGGGAGATGGAATGCCCACAAGAGCAGAAGCCATTTGATCACCCTTGAGTATCTAAGAAAAATACTTAGAGCCTTGCTGGGGAGAAGCTGTGTGAAGGCAGAGGAGAAAGGACAGAAAAGATGGAATTACTTCAACTGACACAGCTGTTGACTCCCCGACACTGATTCCACCCTGGTAATTAATTAAAGCCATTTTTAATCATTCCACAATAATTCCTTTGCCAGTGAATAATCAGCAATAGGTAGGTGATTTGCACCAATGAGAAGCAAGGAGAAGTTTATTCAGGCCTTACAGGCAAGAGAATCAAGCCTCTGTCCCGCCTCCATTCCCTGCCCAGGCACACGCACATAAGCATAAGGCCTACTGTGGCCATAAAAGGAATGAGCGGAGTATAGCAAATACGATAAAAAAGACACATGAAGAACCTATGTTCTGGATGAGCTCACTGAGCAGCTCACAATGAACCTGGCATATTTTCTATCTTTGGCCTCCATTATAGGAGAAAACGTATTTGTTTATTGTTAATGTCATTTTGAATTTGGTTTCTTTTTATTGTAGCCGGTCCAAAAATTCCAACAAGGTGTATAAGTTCGGTTTCAGCTATAGATAATGGCAATCATTACAGAAAGATATGTTATCTACTAGTTGGTGCTGACAACCTCATTGGGTGGATTCAACGAGCAGGTGCTTCCCCCATTATGATTCAAAAATAACACAGCAGAATGGTCTGCCAAGAAAAGTGCCACCTTTGCCAGAATGAGGAATCTGAGGAAGCTGGACATCACAGCTCTAACCACTGGCTCCTGATGGCACTACCTGAGCAACCGTGGAGGAATTAGAAAGTCACACCACTGGGAATGCCTTGCCTGCTATGCTGTGCGCCAGCAGCATGGATGCTGCTCCACACATTTCAGTCTCAGCTAAGTGCATATGACTGGTCAAAGCCTCGCTACCAGGATGTCTGAGAAATGTCATTTTTAGTTTTTCTGCCTGAACCATACAGTGAGGTACACTAGGAGGAAGGTGTAGGCGATGTTGTGTAGACTGATCTACAATATATGCCACACAACAATCCAACCACATCCTTTCTTTAACCCTTTACACACTTGTCACTGTCCTCAAGCAAAATCCAACTCTCATCATATAGTTTATAAAGATAGATTTTAGTTTCAAGTTTTATGGAATGAGAGTCTAGAAGAATTCATTCATGCTCAATTATAAAAATCAAATAAATGTAGAGCTATACATGTTAGTGAACAAGATGAAAATAAAATATGAGATGTGAGGAAAAATGAGTAATGCAATATGGTATGCAAAACTTTTCAATTCACCCTGAATGGAACATAAGCTAAATGGTAGCTCTACCATCTTAGGAAGAAATAATAAGAATGTTAATTATCCTATATAATAAAAGCCTAGGTGGCATCACACCCTCGCACGACACCCTTGAGCAAGATGGCTGCCCTCACGTAGTCACAAGATAACCACCCTCATGTTGTCACAAGATGACTGCCACAAGATGGCCGGCAGGAGAGGGCAGTCGTGGGCGATCAGGCTAGCAGGTGAAAGCAGTTATGAGTGAACAAGCCAACAGGAGAGGACAGTTGGGGGTGATTGGGTTGGCAGGGGAGGGCAGTTGGGGAAAACCAGGCCTGCAGGGGAGGGCAGTTGTGAGTGATCAGGCTGGCAGGGAAGCAGTTAGGCAACAATCAGGCCAGCAGGGTAGTGGTTAGGGGGCAATCAGACAGGCAGGTAGGTGAGTGAATAGGAGCCAGCAGTCCCAGATTGTGAGAGGGATGTCCAACTGCCGGGACGTCCTGCAGGGATTGGGCCTAACTCGGCAGTCGGACATCCCCCGAGGGGTCCCAGATTGGAGAGGGTGCAGGCCGGGCTAAGGGACACCCCCCTCCCATGCACGAATTTCATGCACCGGGCCTCCAGTTTTAAATAACAGGACAAAATGAGATGAAACAAGAGAATGAGGTAAAAAATAAATTAGATGTCAAAAGCACATGATTATAGAACTAAGAATTAATCAAACACTGCAATAAATATGGTATATAGTTAAAATTAACTTCTTTATAGGACAAAGACAGGTGTACATAAATTAATAAAAATAAGAAAAGGGGAAAACCAAAAGATAATGCATGTAATGACCTCATCAGAAGCTCAGGAGAAAACCTGGAGATAAGGCAAAGAACTCAATAAATCCTCTCTCCGGTGCAAGCTTGTACAGTGGAGCAGCCACTTCTGCTGGAAAGGCATAAAGCCCTACCCAAGTACTTTCCCCCTATAGTCCCTAGGGATCCAAAGCATAAGACAATGGGAAAAAGGCAGCAAACCCTATTACCCTCAAAGCACAGGTTGACCCCCTACATTGGGGTTAGAGAAGGTAGGAAAGCATCTTGGACTCAGACAGTAACACCTCCCCCAAACCTGAAGAAAGGGCAGAATAACTGAGAAGGCAGCATGCCAGGAATGCCCTGATAAGGCTGAACAAGGACAACAGAGAATGCCAATCCCATCTCCAACCAAATGTGCATGCAACAGAATTACAATAAGAGCACTCTATTGCTAAGGAGTGGACCAGATCCTAGATAGGAACCTTCTCTTAGGTGCAGGTACAATGGGGAGACCTAAAGTAAAGGGTAGAACAGACATTAAGGTAAACCAGCGGGTCGCGATCTGTGGGTCGCGACCCCTTTGGTGGTTGAATGACCCTTTCACAGGGGTCGCCTAAGACCATCCTGCATATCAGATATTTACATTACGATTCATAACAGTAGCAACATTACAGTTCTGACGTAGCAACGAAAATAATTTTATGGTTGGGTCACAACATGAGAAACTGTATTTAAAGGGCCAGAAGGTTGAGAACCACTGAGGTAAACACTCTGGCATGCCATTTTCCACAAGGTAATGGCACCAGTAAAACTGGTGGTGTCACTGAGCCCAACAGAATGTGAATGTTGTAGTGCTTTTATCCATAATTGCCAAAACCTGAAATCAACCCAAATGTCCTTCAACTGGTGAATGGCTAATAAAACTGGTGTAGTCATGGAGTGGAATGGTATTCAGCAGAGAAAAAAAGTAAATTCTGATACTTAATATATATTTAAATATATATATATATATATATATATATATATATATATATATATATAAAGAAAACACTTGGAATATTCTTCAGTATTGTTATTTTATTATACGTACTTATATTTTCTTTATTCTCCACAATATGTGATTATGTGTAATCCAAAATTATTATTTTATTTACAAAGTACATACTATGCAACAAATTAACATTAGGTGGATGAGGAAGGTCATATTCAAGTCTATACAAATCTATAATTGCTAGTTTAAGAAAATAGCTCATTTTAATGTCATGTTTTATATATTAAAATATTTAAAGGAAGAATAGAAATTCGCCCTTATGAATGTGGAGTGTGCAGCAAGAAAATCCCCCAAAATATGTTTTCCCATTTTAAAAGGTCTGCCTAGCTCTCTCCTGCATTTGTGTTAGAAAAGCCTTTGTGCACGGCGCTGAAACCAGCCTGCTCAAGAACCTGCAACAGAACAGGGTGCAGTCATACCATGCCCAGTCGGGGGTACAGCGTGCGACGGCCCTGCAAGCTCATCATCGCTGATCCACTTGTCTCTGAGGTAGTCGTCATCGGCTGTCCACATACCATGTTCATTCTCACTAGAAAATAAATGCACATATTTGTTCATGGTATCAAAGAACTTATGCATTTAAGAATCTCTGATAATCTACAGTAGTTATTAATTGACATTCACCGACATTTCTGTTCCACCACCTAATTCCATTGTCAGCGCCTGGAGCTGGCCCACTTCCAAAGAGAATGCCAAAATCCCAATGTCTGATCACAAATTCCATCTCCTCCAACTTTTACCTGGCTTGCAAACCAGCTGCCTCGGATCTATCACCTCCCACCTGCTTTCCTCCTTTCCCTAGGCTGTGGGAGGACAGCACGAGGGCCACTCAGCTTTCTCATATCAACAGAGAGCCCTTTGGAAAACACTGGTATATCACTGGTTTTCTCTACCATTCCTCCACTGCAGCTAATCCTGAACTACCACCTGCATGTAGTTCTGATCTTAACCCTCTGCTGTAGTAAAAATGCAGCCACTTCTAGAAAATGCAGGCCAGAAAACCAGAACTCTTTCAACTTACTTTTAAAATGTGTACTTAGATGCATCAACATTCTTCATTACTCCTTCCTTTCTTCCTGTTCAAAAGTTATCCTTCCACATTCTCAAGTACAATGCCTTCTGTCTCATGAGACGTTTTTCTAAAATTTCACATATATGTGTGTGTGTGTGTGTGTGTGTGTGTGTGTGTGTGTGTGTGTTTTATATATATAAAATCTCTCCCTACCTACAAATTCTTTAATATTATAAGGATACTTGATTCACCCTCATTGTAAAGATAGAAAACCCTTCAAAGGTTCTATCTCAATCTAACTACTGCTCTATTTCTAACAGACTTTGCAAATATAAATCCACACTCATTTCCATTTGCTTCCCAACTTCTCACTGTGACTCAGTTTCTTCTCTTGTGCTACCTGCTTGGCTCCTGCTGTACTTACACTCACAACCCACTTAACAGAAGCCTCCTATTATTTGACTTCTGAGTCTAATCTTTAATGTCCAGAAAAAAATTCCCACTAAAATTTAATTATACCTGTCTACCAACTTCAGAATAAACAAAGGCTCCTTCCTGGACACATAACTTTAGCATGTTGGCAATGTGGTCCCTGTCTCCTCTTTTTTTAAAAAAATTAAGTTATTTATCTTTTTATTCTATATCATTGAAGGTATTGCATATGTCCGTTTTCCCCCATTGACTTCTTCCAGCCTGCCCACACCCCATAGCCCAGGTCTCCATCCCCCTATTGTCTATGTCCACTGGTTATGCATATATGCATACAAGTTCATTAGTTGATCTCTTCCCAACCACCCACCCTCCCCTCTGAGGCATTCCCTCTGAGGTTTGACAGTCTGTCAATGCTTCTATGTCTCTGGATCTATTTTTGTTCATCAGTTTACATTTTTCATTACTATATATCCTACACTAGAGGCCTGGTGCATGAAATTCATGCACCAATGGGGTCCCTCAGCCTGGCCTGCAGGATCAGGCCAAAACTGGCTAACATCCCCCCAGGGGTCCCAGATTGCGAGAGGGTGCAGACCAGGCCGAGGGATCCCATCGGTGCACAACTGGAGTCGGGGAGGGGCGCAGGAGGTTGGCCAGCCAGGGAGGGACCATGGGAGGGGTCCAGTGCACGTCTGTCCCATCATGCTCAGTCCCAATCGGCTGGATCCCAGCAGTGAGTTAACATACTGGTTGAAGCATCTGCCCCTTGGTGGTCAGTGCACAACATACTGACTTGTCAACTGATCAACTGTCTGCCCCTGGTTGTCATTGCACATCATAGCGAGCGGTTGAGCAGCCTTAACATATTACGCTTTGATTGGTTGAATAGAAGACCAGACGGACACTTAGCATATTAGGCATTTATTATAGGACTAGAGGCGTCAGCCCGGCCTGTGCCCTCTCACAGTCTGGGACCCCTCGGGAGATAACGACCTGCTGGCTTAGGCCTGCTCCCGGGTGGCAGAGGGCAGGCCTAATCCCTAGGTGCAGCCCCTGGACAGGCTCAGAGCAGGGCCGATTTGGGAATTGGGGCGCCGCCCCCTGTCATGCACAGAGCAGGGCGGATTAGGAGATTGCAATGCCACCCTCAGTCACGCTCAGGGTAAGGCCGATTGGGGGGTTGGGGCACCGCCCCCTGTCACACTCAAGGCAGGGTCGATGGGGAGGTTGTGGCGCCACCCCCATCACGTATAGAGCAGGGCTGATCAGGGGGTTGGGGAGCTCCCCCCTGTCACGCACAGAGCAGGGCAGATCAGGGGATTGGGGTGCTGCCCTCTATCACCCACAGAGCAGGGCCGATCAGGGGGTTGGAGCGCCGCCACTCTCACACTCAGGGCAGGGCTGATGGGGAGGTTATGGCTCTACCCTGTCACACACAGAGCAGGGCCCAATGGGGTGGGGGGGTTGGGGCGCCGCACCCTGTCACACACAGAGTCGCAGGGCGATCAGGAGGTTGGGGAGCTCCCCCCTTATCAGGCACAGAGCAGGGCCGATCAGGGGGTTGGGGCGCCTTCCCCTATCAGGAACAGAGCAGGGCGGATAGGGAGGTTGTGGCCCCGCCCCCTGTCACACACAGAGCCACAGGGCGATCAGGAGGTTTGGGCGCTGCCCCCTGTCATGCTGAACCTGGTGCTGGGAGACCTCGCGGCTCCGCTGATCCCGGTGCTGGGAGACATATTACCCTTTTACTATATAGAATAGAGGCCTGGTGCATGGGTGGGGGCTGGCTGGTTTGCCCTGAAGGGTGTCTTGGATCAGGGTGGGGGTCCCCACTGGGGTGCCTGGCCAGCCTGGATGAGGGGATGATGGCTGTTTGCAGCTGGTCACACACCCTTCAGGGTAGGGGTCCCCACTGGGGTGCCTGGCCAGTCTGGGTGAGGGGCTGAGGGCTGTTTTCAGGCTGACTGAAGCTCCCAACTGCTCCTTTTTTTCTTTTTCTTTTTTATTCTGAGTCAGCTTTAGCTCTGAGGCTCCAGCTCTTTGGCCTCTGCTCCTGAAAGCAGGTATCTGGTTTGTTTAGGTTCTACAATTGAAACTCTGTATCAACTCCAGGTCTGAGATCCCAGCTAGCTGAAAGCTGGTTTCTGGGGTTTTGTTTAGCTTCTATTTTTGTAACTATGTTTCAAACTGCCAGCTCAGAGGCCGGCAGCGCAGGCAGGGAACATTGGAGTCCTCCGTCACTGAAGCAAGCAAGCCTCATGTAAGTTTCAAGCTGCCTGGCTGCCGGCCACCATCTTGGCTGGCAGTTAATTTGCATACCTCGCTGATTAGCCAATGGGAAGGGTAGTGGTCATACGCCAATTACCATGTTTCTCTTTTATTAGATAGGATTAGTACCTACTGCTTAGGACATGCTACTAGAATATAGCTTTTTCATTTAATGTACTTCTGAAAGTTGAACATAAAAGATTTATACTGTACACATTATTATAGTATTATCCCAGTAACTATAGGTAATAGTACTTAGCAATCTCTATGGAAGTATGACTCAATAAAATGTTTCCTTATTTGGTATGGTTTTTCACATAACACCTAAATCTGAACATTTTATGAGCATAAGAGCTGCTACCAGTGTTTCTTTGTTTTTCTTGATGTAAATTTATTTTTCTCTTGATTCTTTAATTTTTTTCATACAAAGTACAAAAAATTCACCAAGCTGAGTCCCATTGTTTCTAGCATATTATTTTCTTTATAGAACCAGCCATAATTTCTAATAAAATGTCACTGTGCCCCAAGCTTTACGTTACCTCAAGTACAGTGGCCCCTCAGGAGCTCCAGACACATTTACAAAAGCTTGGGAACCGTGGAATTGCTGAGATGACAAAAATGAAATTCTGTAGGCATATCTTTTTCTTGTGTTAATACCATATTTATGAGATCGTAAATACATTCTATTTCTAGCCAAATCAGCTTGTACTTATTACAAAGAGCTATATCTTGAAATATACCAAACATTTGAGAGCCATGATTCATTATCTCCACTCAGAGGAGTTATAGCTATTAACAGGCATAAACAGAAAACTAAATAAGCTCATTAGTCATACCTTTCTGTAGATTCTTGAAAAAGATCCACGAAATCACTATGTTTGTAATCCGAAAAAGAGAATAGTACGTTATCTAAGTTAATTTGATTTGCAAAAACCTATAGGAATAAGAAAGAATACAAAATTATGGCTAAGATTTCAAAAACATGTAGTTTCAAAATATGACTTCTGTAGCTTCTTAAAATACAACAAGAAGTACAAATTGATTTTTATACGAACAGTCAGGAATGAAAAGTATAGCACAGGATATACAGTCAGTAATCTACACTAATAAAAGAGAAAGATACAAATTGACCATACCTCCGAATGCTTCCCATTGGCTAATCAGCAGGATATGCAAATTAACTGCCAACCAAGATGGCGGCCGGCACTGAAGTGAACAGGAGGCTTGCTTGCTCCAGTGACGGAGGAAGCCAACATTCCCGGCCTGCGGCAGCCCAGCTCTAAGCTCCGGATGCAACAATGTTGGAATTATAGAAGCTAAACAAAGTCCAGCTAGCTGCTTTCAGCCGTCAGTGGGCTCAGAGCTTAGAGTGCCAGTGATAGCAACAGAGTTTCAATTATAGAAGCTAAACAAAGCCCAGATAACCTGCTTTTAGCAGCCGAGGCCTCAAGCTGGAGCCGGCCTCAGAGCTAAAGCCAGCTCTCAGCTCGTGACAGCCATAGAAGGTAAATAAATCCCAAAATAAAAAAAAAAAAGAAAAAAAGGAGAGGTTGGGAGCTTCAGTCACCCGCCAGCCTGAAAACAGCCCTCAGCCCCTCATCCAGGCTGGCAAGGCACCCCAGTGGGGACCCCCACCCTAAAGGGGGTGCAGGCAGCCTAAAAACAGCCATCAGCCCCTCACTCAGACTGGCCAGACACCCCAGTGGGGACCCCCACCCTAAAGGGGGTGCGGGCAGCTCAAAAACAGCCCTCAGCCCCTCACCCAGACTGGCCAGGCACCCCAGTGGGGACCGCCCCCAGAAGCCTCAGCAGCCAGTCTTGCCTTGCAACCTGGGAACCGCCCATCAGCAGGTGGGCACTGCAAGGCAAGGCCCGCCCCCAGCAGCAGGTCTTGCCTTGAGGCCCGGGAACCGCCCATTAGCGGGTCCTGGCTGCAAGGCAAGGCCCACCCCCAGCAGCAGGTCTTGTCTTGGTGCCCAGGATCCACCCATCAGCGGGTCCAGGCAGCAAGGCAAGGCCCACCCCCAGAAGCCCCTGCAGTCAGTCTTGCCTTGGGGCCTGGGATCTGCTCATCAGCGGGTCCAGGCTGCAAGGCAAGGCCTTCCCCCAGAAGCCCCAGCTACTTGAAAAATAGAAGGATATCCTTTTGAACCAATCTGTTTAGATTCATGATTAGTAAAACAGTATGGAACTAATGAAATACAGTGATAGGAATTAGGAAGTGTGACACTGATGGTTCTGGGCATGTGAAGGGTGAGGGACAGAAGGGTACACACGGTCTTCCCTTCAGTTCTGCTGGAGAGATGAGCTCTGAGGGCCGGAGCTGCTCCATGCCCAGAGGAGGTGGGTGTGGTCAGTGGCTCTGTTTCAGAACTTCCTGCCAAGCAGAGACCTTACCCGACCCACAGGAACCTTTTTACTCCAGAAAACAGAAACAGCAAGTTCCCAATGTGCATGGGAAAACCAGTGTCCCCTCCTGTGCACAGTGTCCTGATGGAGTGATGGGGGAGGTGGGCGAGGGGAGCAGTGTAGAGTTGTTAGGCAGCTGGAGTTGGAGTGGAAAGGCCATGAAATGTCCACATTCCTGGCTGTGCCCACAGCCTGGGCAGCTCCTCCAGTCACTGGCTGAGGGATTAGGGCTGATTCTCTCAGGAAGGGAATATTCCATGGGTGAAAGATTTACAGGCTCAGGGTGGGCTGTGTGTTAGTTTGGGGCAAATCCCTCAGCATTCCTGCTGCCAAGCCCTCAAAGGAATGAGGCAGAGGCACCCCTCACCCTGAAGACCCCTTCGTGGACATTTTAGCACCTACGTGATTTTTAATCCCTTCAGGGAGACTTTCTATCCTGCAGTCCCATCCCACCCCACTGTTGCTGTTTGTCTGCCAGCTAGGTCAAGCATCAAGGGGAAAGGGGTTAATACTCACTAAAAGACTACTGATCCTATCGGGAAACCAACCTATTTATTGTACTGTTGTAAATATCATACCCTTTATATCCTGTATATTGGCTTCTTTTAAATAAATTGAAATGTCTTAGAAAAAAAGAAGAAAAAAAGGCAAGGCAGGGCGGGACCCAGAAGATCCAGAAGCTGCCTGATATGGTAGTTACTCTATCAGTAAGCACTCTTTACTTTTAGCAGTAAGCTGCTAAAAGTCAGTGGCATAAATGCAGCAATTAAAGGACAGATTATGAGGGTGAATCAAAAACAAAACCCACTTTAAATATAAAGACACATATAGATTAAAAGTAAATGAATTAAGCTGCAGCCTGTTTTGCTCAGTGGATAGAGCATTAGCCCGTGGACTGAAGGGTCCCAGGTTCAATTCCAGTCAAGGGCATGTACCTCAGTTGCTGGCTTGATCCCCAGTCCCTATCAAAGCATGTGCAGGAGGCAACCAATCAATGTGTCTCTCCCTTTCCCTTCACTCTCTCTAAAATTCAATGGAAAAATATCCTTGGGTGAAGATTAACAAAAACAAAGTAAATGGATTAAGTAACATTAAAGAGATTATAAGAAAAATATATTCCAAATTCTGTTAGTTGTATAATGGTTATGTTTAAATTATTAACACCTAAGAAATTGGGTGAAGGGTACATATAATATGCTGTAATATTTTATAGTTTTTTTAGATGTATGAGATTATTTCAAATTAAAATATTAAAAATTTAAAAATAAAATATTAATTGAAATGTATCTGCATTACATGAAAAATCTCCTAATTGCTTCTAGCATAATTTAATAAATTGCGCTAAAATTTACAAGGGTTCAATTAAAAAATATCTTAATTCTAAATGATATAATAGAAAATATATAATAGTGCAGTTATAAGCACTTATCTTAAAATACAAATTTAAAGAAGTGAATTTAAAGAAGGGATTAGCCAAAGAAAATATATGCACAACCCATATGGTGTTGGCCAGAGAGAAGTGGGGGGCAAGAGCTGGGTAGAGGGGGAAAAAGGGGGGAAATAGGGACATCCTATATCCTATATAATAAAAGGGAAACATGGTAATTAGCCGTAACTTCGCTACCCTTCCCATTGGCTAATCAGGGCAATATGCAAATTAACTGCCAACCAAGATGGCGGCTGGCAGCCAGGCACTGAAGTGAACAGGAGGCTTGCTTGCTCCAGTGACGGAGGAAGCCAAGGTTCCCCGCCTGCTGCTGCCGGCCTCTGAGCTGCAACTCTAAGAAACATTGTTGCAAATATAGAAGATAAACATTCCCCAGAAACCTGCTTTCAGCCAGCAGGGCTTCAGCCAGCAGGATCGCAACAGTGTTACAATTATAGAACCCAAACAAACCCAGATCCCTGCTTTCAGCAGCCGAGGTCTCAGAGCTGCAGCTGGGCCTCAGAGCTAAAACCGGCTCTCAGCTCCAGTGACGGCCATAGAAGGTAAATAAATTCTAGAATAAAAAAGGAAAAAGAAAAAAAGGAGTGGTTGGGAGCCTCAGTTGCCCGCCAGCCTGAAAACAGCCATCATCCCCTCACCCAGACTGGCCAGGCACCCCAGTGGGGACCCCCACCCTGAAGCAACAAGATGGCGGCTAATTTGCATACTGAAGGCAGGCGGCAGTGGGAAAAGCTGTCCACGGTCCAGGACCCAGATCTGTGACCCTGCTGGGCGGGGGGCAGTGCTTGAGGCTGTCCACGGTGTGGGACCCTGATCCGTGACCCTGCTGGGTGGGGGGCAGTACTTGAGGCTGTCCGCGGTCTGGGACCCAGATCCATGACCTGGCGGGCGGGGGGCAGCGCTTGAGGCTGTCCACGGGACCAAGACACGGATCTGTGACCCTGCTGGGTGAGGGGCAGCTCTTGAGACTATCTGTGGTCCCGGGACCCGGATCCATGACCCTGCCGGGTGGGGGGCAGTGCTTGAGGCTGTCCATGGAACCAAGACACGGATCTGTGACCCTGCCGGGTGGGGGGCAGCGCTTGAGACTGTCCGCGGTCCCGGGACCAGATCCGTGACCCTTCCTGGAGGGGCAACGGCTCACACAGGGGCAGATCGGCCGGGGTTGGGCAGGGCAGGACGCCTGGTTTCCGCCCAGCCCCAGTCACTCTGGGCAGGTGCTCAGTGCAGAGAGCCTCTGGACAGGGGAGGCAGGCTGGCGGAGGGCGGCCTGTACTCCCCACATGGTGGTGGTGACAGCTGTGAGTGCACCAAGCGGAGCCTGCAGGCTGAGCTGAAGTAGCACCTGCAGGCCCTCAGCACCCAGGAGTGGCTGTGCAAGATCCGCCTCCTGGCCCAGAAGGTGCAGGATCACAGGGACAGCCACCATGGCGGGCCAGACTGATGTCCTCCTGGCCACACCACGGGAGTTTGTGGATCTGCAAAGCCAGAGGCCTCCGGTGTGCACATCCCCCCTGGCATGCGAACATCCCCCAGCACACTGTCACCCTCCCGCGCCTGCAACAGTTGCAAACCAAGACGTGCACAAGTTCCCCCCGCCTCTCCACCGCACTTCCATCAACCCAGCATGCCTAACACCCCCACAGGATATGCACACATTCCCTCTGATGCGCTCACATCCTTTGGAGAGTGTCTGGGTGTTCTGGGTGCTGAGGGTGGGCACCTGTGAGATGACAGTGAGAGGGCGGAGTGGTGATGCCCTGTTCCCACGGAGGCCAGTGCAGCTATGAGATCACCTCTGGGGGGTTAATGCAGGTGCTGACGCAGGAGCAGGTGCAGACAGACACACCTGGTGGGCGCAGGTGGCCCTCGCTGAGGTGCCTTCGGTCAGTGTTCAAGATCAAGAACCCAGAGGCGGAGAGGAGTTCCGTCCTCTCAGTGAAACAGTGGGATAGTCGGGGCAACTGTAGAGAAGGAATGTGCACTTTGGGTGCCAGCACCCATGAGCGAAGGCTGCCCTGACTGAGCCTTGCTTGCTTGGGGCGTAGCACACTCCTGCCGGGCAGCGGGTGACAAGC